CAGCTCTGTCTCAGGGGTAATTTTTCCACGAGTAGTTGTAAATTGGCTGTGTCCACGGGAGGAGGTGAGTTCAGAGTCTGCCTACGCCGCCATCTTGACTCCCTCTCTTGTTGCTCATTCTTTATTTTCCAAAATGCAAGCTGTCTCGCTCCATCGTATGTATTGTCTCACCAACAAAGATAATATTATTAATTTTCCTCCTGTACACTTACAAAGCTTCATATGAGTTGTTTCATGAAACAACAGGCATACCATACAGGTTTACCTTCCACTCCCTGGAAAAGAAACGCTGATCTACATATTCTTTAATTTCTTATGCATTATAACAACAAGCCTTCAAAATCATGAATATAGGTAAATGAAATAAGTTAGGAAGGCAATTAGAAAGTCAATAAATGATATTTAAAAACCTAATCCTATAGCACTTGGTCATTATTTTCAGGAGTTAGAATATTACACGGTGCTATAGATCTCCACTTGTGGCCATTTAGAGAATGTTCACACATGACTTTAGAAGGGCTCTCCTGTATGGTTAATAGCAAAATTCTCCTTAACTTGTGCAGAGATGGTTTTGTTCTTCCTTCTGATCTTAATCTGTTGTTGAATTTTCCGAAAGAAATGATTGGCATTGTGACTATCAACTGTTAGCATCCCACACTGAGTTTTGAGAATGCACGATTCTCTGTCCTGTAATTTTCTTATAAATTGTATTTTATGATCAATTAGTAGCTACTGTGAATAATTCAGGTGGCACAAAGAACACATTATTTTCCTCAGATAATAGAATTTAAAAACTCATGCCCATCAACTATATATGTAGATTCATCTTGTGTATAAGTAAACAGTTGATCTTATAAAAGCAAAATATTTGTAGAATATAACTTTCTTAAACCATCACAACTAAACAAAATGGGCAACAAACCTGTTACCTACAATTGAATTAATGGTGTGTGTAGACCGGGACTTGTCAATGTTGAGAAGTTCCCTTCATGTGGGGTGCTCAGCCAGAAAGGCTGTGTTGAAGTGAAAAATTAAAGAATAAAATTATAATAGAGTTTTGTTTTGCATCTACTAGACACTTTGTCAAGAACTTGCAAGGTTGTTACTGTGATCCCAATTTTAAATGTATGAACACTGAAGATCAGGTGAAGTTCAATGATTTGGTCAAAGTCCAATGTTGGAAAAAGATGGAGTCAAAAATTATATCTGGGCCCGGCCCCGTGGCTTAGCGGTTGGGTGCGCGCGCTCTGCTGCTGGCGGCCCGGGTTCGGATCCCGGGCACGCGCCCATGCACCGCTTCTCTGGCCATGCTGAGGCCGTGTCCCACATACAGCAACTAGAAGGATATGCAGCTATGACATACAACTATCTACTGGGGCTTTGGGGGGAAAAATAAATAAATAAATAAAATCTTAAAAAAAAAAAAATTATATCTGTGTTGTGTGTGCAAAGCCCTCTCTTTTCACTATATTAGACTACCTTCCTGAATGATTCTAATTTTACTATGATACTATACACATATGTTAACATTAATCATTTTTACCAAGTGAGTCATCATATTTTTCAGTGTTTTTCCCCTCCTTTCAGTTTCTAACTCATTAAGAAACTAAAAAAAGAAGAAAAAGAAGAAGAACAGGAGGACGAGGGGAAGGAAATTCACTTGAATAAGTTACTAAAATTAACTAAGTTTTCCTGAGGGCCAAAGTTCTCATGATCTTCTAATTTTCTAGGGTCTAGATGTGTTATATATTTGTTTTAAATATGATATGCCCATTTGCCAATATATTCATGAATTATAGTTATACATTTTAGAAAGATTCCCATAAAAATAGTTAAAACAAAATACAGTTTGCTTTAAACAATCAGCTTCAATTATTCTAATGTAAATTAGCCCATTCCTTAGTAATACCATCTTCCTACAAATGTTTCCCCAAACATGAACATAGTACCATCAGATTTTAAATCCACAAAAGCCATAGTACAAGCAATCAAGTTACTCATTCTTATAATTAAGATATTAGTAAGGGATCCCTTGTGACACTCTGGGTAGCAAATAAAGATAGGAGAGATGATAGATAAATGCCTTTAAGCAAAAATACTTGGCCATTGTATTGACTATTAACTCCAAGGTTGAATATCTCCATCAATAGTAGTTCTCCGGAGTGGCTAACACAAGTTCATACATAAGTGAGAAAATCAAAAAGTTTTGAAAAAGAAATTAAATATTTGAAATGTGATGGATTTTAATATGAATTTTGTTTGCTACTAAAAAAAGGATACTATCATTGTCATAGGTCTTTTCTTCTAAGTTTACCGCAAATAAAATAAGATGATTCACCTCTTCACTCCAAGAGATTATTAAAGATATTAGCATTTTTTGTATATAAAGATATTAGCACGTTTTTAGCTTTCAGCTGACTTCATTTGCAATAGGCCATGCAATAATAGAAAGTAAAATTAAAGGCCCTAATGTCAGTTATTACTTCTGCTTTTTATTGGTTTTATTCTAGATCTACACGTGCATTATGCAATTTTTTAAAAATGAAAATACAGTTTAGTACATAAAAAAGCTGACAATCTTAGAAGCAAAGACTATTAGAACAGACAAGTACAAGAATTGTTTGGAATACCTGGTTTTAAATCCCCATGGACAAATATGTCAATCATATATCGACAGAATGCATACTGATCTGACAGAGTAGAAAGAAAAAAAGCAATGAAAAAATGTCATCGACACCTTTCTTTTTTCTAGGGAGAAATGGTTTAACAAACAAACAAAAAACACAATTCTATTTTAGTTACTACAATATTTTCTGTGAAGAAATAATTTGCACTCATGTGAACACACGGGGAAAAAAGGCATAATAAACGTAAGGTTTCATTTATTCCAAGAAAAAGAATAACCCTAAAAAATTGAAACAGACTAGTTCAGGGTAATATTATAATAAGCTATTTTTAAGAATTAAAACATTTTCATCAAATTTATTACAAAAATCATCATATTAAAGCAATTTTTTCATTGTCCGTATATATATATACTTCCAATAATGAAACAGAAGTTTTACAAGATGAAACTGTTTCCAACTTGGAGCGTTTTACCAAATATTCACTCCTGGCCCTTCTGCTAATTGAATGGAGCTGCAAAATGTTTTCTCAAAGAGGCAAGCAGGAGGAGGGCTAACCCCTTTGCAACCTGTTAGGGGTCCTCTGCATGGAAATGCTCTTCAATTAGAATAAATCCAGGAGAACAGACTTTCAGCCTCAAATGATATCATTGTTAAGCTAATTAATTGGGTGATCTTTATTAGAAGATCATCTTCTGATCTTGACTAGTCTTTGGTCTATGGAAAAAGTAAAAAAAAAAAAAAAGCATAGGATGTAAGCATTTTGGAAGACTTGGTCAAAGGTAATTTCAAGAGTTGTTTTTTTCTTTTCCCTCTAAATTAAAGACATTGCAGTGAACTTTAAATTCTCACATAACTTTAGATTCTGTTGAGGTCATTCCAACCCAAATTTCGGTTGAGAAATCATTCTATAAGTTTTACCATTTCTTCTTTAAAGAATGCTTATTATGAAATGAATGTTGTTTAAGATGATTTGCATTTTACTGTTTCTAAAGAGGCATCTTATTAATCCAACAAATCCAAAGGCAGCTTTAGGACCAAGAGAGTTTACTGAATTTATACAACATGACACATCCTTAAGTGCGCCAAATTATGTATATCAAACATGAAATAATAAAACTTGTTATTATGCAAATACACATACAAGGATTTTTGTAAACCTCATTGTTTATTTTAGAGAATTAACACTTTGAGTAATCCATTTTATTATAAAACTCTGACAGGTCTTTTAAAAAAATAAATGTAGTTATTGCAGTAGATGTAAAAATATAATCCTTTTATTAGTACCTAAATATAAGTAGGCCAAAACTCATAAAGTTTCAAAATTTGCCTATATTTTTGTTCTTGAATTGGAGCACATTTTCCCACAGGTGAGTTGGAGAGTGGGAAGTAGGCTAGGTCTCAGATCAGTCAGGAATCTATTTGCTCCTGCATGTACTGGCGGTAATAGCTGGGGTTTCTGATACGAGCACCTGGGCACTCTATGGTACAGGAGAGAAGTAAGATTAAGGGCATAATTGTTTTCCTGAGCAAAACTGTAGAATGGGCAATTTGACTCTAAAATAAAGCAAAATGAAAAAGTATATTTCTCTTGAATGGCAAATTTGAGGTTGGGCAAGGGTGGACTTCCCCAAATTGTCAAGCTTTCCCCTTTGTTTCAGTGGCTTAAGTGACTGTACTATTTCTAGATTTGTCCTTGCTACAATTCAGAAGTAGTTCTCAAAGGGCAATTTAAATATCAAAAAGATAGCAAATGTGTTGAAATGCAGATTTCTAGGCCCCATCACACAAAAAACTATAATTCCATGGGTCTGGACCCTAGGAATACGTATTTTGTTTCGAGAATCACTGATCTAAAATCCCTCAATTTTTTTTTCACAATGATTCCTAGTGGCACTATCGCCTTCAGTAACAGCAACAAAGAATGTATGCATGTCTTAAGTTTAGAATGCAGGGACTACTTGGAATTTAAAGAGTTTGGAAACCCCCTAAAATTAAATATTATTCTCTGCCCCAAGTTGTGATGGGATGTTTATATACACAACATGTGGAGTAGTATATTGAATTAACTAAAATCTTCACATTTCAGAGTTTCTTCATTGAATGTTGACAATGTAATGAAACTACTTAGCCTATACGTTATATTATTACCAATGTAAAATGCCTATATTTAGTATACTAATATTTTCTGAATGCAAAAGTCATTCATTCAATTAATGCACCAATAGTTCTATGAGCTTCCAATTTAATAAAGCAAATCCCTTATGAATTCAAAGAATGTTTATTTTTTTAATCTAGAAAATTATTTGAGTTACAACACGTACGAGGTTTCTGTTATATTTAAATGATACTGTGATGTTGCATTCTAATGGCACCAACATATCAATAGGAAGATGAAAGAGTATTTTGACAATATTTTAAATTAGGAATTTTCAAATATTTTAAATTAAGATATCCATTTCCATCTGTCCTGAGCGTTGACCTTAACAACGTGTAAGAATTCTAGGAAAGTATTATTTTGAGCAAGAAACCAGTGTTTCTGCTTCATCTAAGGATAAAGCAAAACCAAGCCTTCTTGATTCTGGAAGATTCGTTTTATAGAAATGCTACTTTAAATGCAGCTCAAATATTAAAATAGAAAATATTTCCTGAAGAAAATTGCAAATGTTCTATCATTCTAACTTTCACAGTTATGTGATGATAATTCACATAAGGTCATTTCGTATTTGGTCACCACTTCTTAGTATTTTTTATCAAATAGACATCCTTCTAGAAATAACACACTCTGTCCATTTCTGCCCTTCTTGATCCCCAGGGAGCAGTGATGGAGGTCATTCGGCTGCTGCCTTGCTGGTGTTTCCTGTGGAGTGGCAGCTGAGAGAAAATGCGTTCTTGGTGCAGAATGTCAACAGAAAGGAAATTCTAAAAACCTCTGATGAGGATGGGGCGAATGTGGTCCGGTGCTCTATGGCAGATTCACATTAGCTATACTTTCTCTGTCTGCCACAAATATTTAGATAGTTATCAAAAAATAAATTAAAAGAAAGAATGAGTGTAGCAGTGGTACGTTTGATTTTTCTTTCCCCACTGATTTGCCACAGACCATCGAGAATCAGGGGGTAATACCTGATCACGCTGACTCTTCTTACCCTACTTTAAACAGGTTAAGATTGGTCTATAAAAATTAGATTACATGACATATGAATGTGTGTATAAGTTTATGGTAGGCACGTACATAGGTATGTATCTTATCGCCAATGCTTTAAGGAGAAATATATTGTTTATATATACAATGTTAAGACTAACCACATATGAATATATTTGCATGTATACTGTATAATTAAATACCAATCAGTATATGTGCTCCATGTAAAAGTCTGTTTCCAATCTGTAAAAGACCTATAGGCCCTATTTATTTAAAAAGAATTGTTTAGAAATCTAGATGAAAAGAATGACTCAAATTCATTAGGTCTAACTTAAGCTAAGTAAATACACAATTCCTTGCCCAAAGGAGAGCTAACTCAACAATTTTACTAAATCATCAATACAAGAGTCTCAAAATCAAAGCCACCTCACAAACAGATTATTTAAAAAACACTATGTTTTATCATGTTGAGTTAAAACCATAATGTGATTAGGTTTTTTATAAACAAATGCTCTTAAATCTTTTCTTAATTAAAAAAGAATAACATATTTATGTGTCTGACCAGCTATTAGAGGTAAAGTTTTGTTTATTTACCTAATGATACACTTATTTAATTGATGGTAGCTGTTCTCAATAGGGAGCCTTACTTTGGCAAATGTGTTGTTCAGCTGATAAAATCACATTTGTACTTTCATTTCTAATTTTGTGATATTTGAATGTCCTTTTAATAGATAAATAGCTCTTTCTGTGGAAATGAAAACAGTAGATTGAAAATGGAAATGGCAATATAATGCTGTCTTTAATAATTCTGATTACTGATAGGAGTAAAATACAATATATACGTGACTTGGAAAATAAATATTATTTGAAAATGTTCTAGTGATGTGTCTCCATAAATAAAATATGACCCCTCAAAACCCAAAGATACTGAAAATAAACATCAAAAAGTGTATTCCTGTTCCTAGCTGGTAGATAAGTATTTTGCTGCTCCCATATATAACTGGCATGAATTTTTACTTACTGTATTTATGGACAAAAAATAAAAATATACTTGATATGTTTCAGCTGGTTTCATGTGATTCTTTTCTTTTTTTTTGTTTGGTGAGGAAGATCAGCCCTGAGCTAACATCTGTTGCTAATCCTCCTCTTTTTTGCTGAGGAAGATTGGCCCTGGGCTAACAACTGTGCCCATCTTTCTCTACTTTATATGTGTGACACCTGCCACAGCACAGCTTGATAATCGGTTCACAGGTCCACGCCCAGGGTCCAAACCCTCGAACACAGGGCCAGGAAGCAGAGTGTGCCAACTTAACTGCTACACCACCAGGCCAGCCCCTATTTTCTTTTTTAAAGGGCAATCTAAAACGTAAAGTATTTTAGGATCTTGATAATCGTTTTAAATAAACATATCAGTGAATCAGAAGATTAATTTTTCTGTTTTCTATCACAATAAAATAGTCCATTCAAAATATTTTCTCTTTATTTACTACTTCTTTATTTTCTACCCAAAATATTTTATAAATAACATATAGTTTTAAGAGAGGTAATAATTAATATTTTATGTTTTTCCAAGGCAATATAATCATCTTTAAAATTGAAAGAGGTTTTAGGGCTCCAAAGTTTTAATTCCATTCCTAACTTTAAAAATTACTTTGAAATAAATGAAATTACCTAAGTTAAAAAATTTTGTGCATCATTAAAAAAAAAAGAAAAAGAAATTTTTCCTTTCTTCTTCCCTTCATTCCTTTTCTTTTTAAAATATATTTTCAAAAAATATACATCTTTTGTCATATAAATCAAAGTTTACAAATATTACTTGTGAATTCAGGGGAAAACGTGATTCAAAGATAAAATACAAGAGTGGATTGCAAAGACAAATGCCATATGATCTCATTTATCTGTAGAACCAAAAAAAAGTGTGGATTGCAAATTCCATATCTAGTACCTTATAATGGGGAAAAATTATTTTCAGTTCCACTGTCCAAATAGCTTACTCAGTAATAAAGTTTCAAAATTTTTCAGTGAAAATCTCACAGAAATCATTCCTTAATTTTAGTCCTCAAAATTATTCAAAGCTACCAAAGTAAAGGAAAATTTTATTTTGCACCACCCCTAAGAAACATTTATAGGACTAGTCCCTACAGAAAAGATCCCACATTCTGTGTGAGTGCCAGGATGGTGTAGCAGCCTGGCGCCAGGAATGGACTTAGGAAAGGAAAGCTTCAACAAGGGGCAGACATGTGGGACAATAAGGCCCTCAGCTGCCCTCTTAAAACTCCACCCTTCTATGTTTACGTAGCATCTTTCCATAAAGAATTTCAGGTTCATATTCGACCCCCATTTAAATAGTCTATTTCTGTGAAGTTGGGATTAAGTTTGACACCTCTCTTATCGAAGAGCAGGACAGCTGTCAGATACACAGCTTTCTAAAGTCATAAATTTAGCCAATGGCTGCTGGCAAAGAAACTTCAGAGTTCTTTTCCCTATAACTTCCTGCCTATTCAATTAACTGAATTTAACAATTCGATGTATATTCTACATTATGTGCTCTTGCAGAGACAACAGGAATGTATGGATAATTTTTATCATACTTACTCTATGTGATTTGAACATAAACCCCTTAAAAATCTCCTTGAGAATTGTTGCTGTTTTTCCTGGACTGCTCTTCTCCAAGGAGTAGGACACAGAATTTTTGTTCCACTTTTTTCATACAAATCTCATATCTCGAGAATTCAACATCTATCCTCAACCTTCAAATAACTTCAAATCCTAATTCAAATACTCCTAAAAATTATTCAAAATGCATCTTTAGATATGTGGACACATTTTAGTATTTCTATAAATAAATTTTAATTCCCAAATTATTGTATTTCCTTCCAGGCATTTTTACTTATACAAGTCTTTTGCTCTCATTTGGAGTCTGATCTCAGTCTTTTTCAGTTTTTAATTTCACTGCATCTGCTTCTTGCCCAATATTCTCTTAGAACCTCTGGCTGCCTCCTCTGAACGTTTACCTTTCTGTTCGTGCTTGGATACAGCTGCGGTCTCTTTCCTGTCCTTTTCTTTGGGTTTTGGCGATGTTTTCTGAACTTCTTTTACTTTTGTAGCTGTTGGCTTCACTTTCTCCTGTTTCCCACCTTTCACTTCCTTTTTAGTCTTTTCTTCAGTCTTCTCTTTAGTCTTAGCTTTCTTCTCTTCTGTGTACAGAGACAAGTTGGATTATTTTTGCTTATTTACCAACACAGCATTTCGTCTTTCTTTGGTTGTTAAGAACAATTTAAAAAGAAAGAAAAAAGAAAAACAATAGAGAAATAGTGTCCCTGACATAAACACTTGTGACTATTATCTGACTTTTATATAGTTTATGAAGTGCCATGTTAGCGTATTTAGAAAAAACATTGCTATCTTGCAAGTTGGGCTCTTTTTAAATTTGTACTTGATAACATTATATTTTAGGTAGACAGGAACTTAGCATATCAACAGGGAGGCATTAGGAATGTATATACAGGCGTGTTCAGTGAAAGGTAATGCCCATACTGAAGAGCCTGACGAAAGAGATCTTTTAAAAGGATGTGATCATTTTGTTTCACAACTAAAATATCCTAAAAGTCATTCGAGAAACTGAACCATAAACACAGTATTTTTTAAAGATAACTATTAGGAATGCAAATGTAAAATGACTTGCACTGGTAATAACTAATATAAATAAAACAATAAAATCCACTAAAGGATAACTCAGAGACATTCAGTCTCTTATTATTTCACAGAAAGGGAGCAGAAATTGGGATATTGCCTCCTGCTTATCTTAAGTCAGAAATAATAATTCTAATGAGTTTTAAAGCCCTTAAATACATCCTAGTAAACAGAAAGGGCTATAAATTAGAATATATATGAATTATACATACATATATGTTCTATACACACATTCTTAATTTGTTATTGTATGTATTTGGGGGAAGTAAACTGGGAATGTGAACTGATCAGTCTGAATCTTTCAATTATTTAAAAAAAGTAATAATAATATAGCAACATTTGTGAAAAATTGTTTATAATAGATGCTGCCTGTTGGAGATTATTTATTCTATGGGTTCACACATAATCACTAGATACCACAGTAAGTCTACTACAATGTTGGACTCTCTCATCTCATTTTCCAATGTAGTGGATAGACTTTATTATCACTCATGTTGAAGAACTGATGAAAATATTATAATCAAGTTTCTTGACTTTACTACACTAAGCAAGAATTTGAGACTAAGAGTAGATAATATTGCAACGTCCTGCGAATAGAAGAATGAAAGTGATAATGCCTGATGCTCGCAAAACAAAACTCATCTGTGCTACTGCATTTAATTGAATGGACAAAGCACTGTTCTTCAGAAATTTTGCAAGGAGATGCTAATAGCGTGTTAGGGATAGGAAGATATTCCTATGATCAAATAAATTTGGAAACACTAAGTTAAATCTGTTTCTTTGCTATGGAACTTCTCAAAGCTAAAGTGTACTGAGAATCTTCAAAGAGGGGGATTATGCCATGCACTGTTTTCCCAAGTTACCTGACCACAAAAACTCTCATACAAAAATCATCCAGTTACTCCACAAACTTCCAACGTCTTTGTGACTTCCACAACCATATTCAATGGGGGATTTTCTTCTACTTTCTTTAAACTATTTCTAAATCTCCTTTGCTGGTTACTGCTCTTTCCTACAGCAGATTCATACATTTCTGTGACAGAAAACCATCAGCTCTCTGAAAATGACTTTCAATCAACATTATTCCAGAACCTCACACCAAAATATTTATTAGTTTCTGTCTGGAGAGAAAGTTCCACTGAGATAGCGAACAGTACCTCAGACTCATGCAACTCATATATCTTCTCCTAACAAACTGTTCTGGAGAGTCCGTCATAGCCTGGGCTCTGAGCTAGTTCCTGGAGCTCTAAAGATCAGCAGGGTAATATTCCTATCTGAAGAAAGTTTAGTACTGCACTTAAAACCCTGCACAAACTGGCTCCATTCTATCCCTCCTCTCATAGTATATTCCTCCACCAGGCTACTTACTTTTTCTTGAATATCTCATATGTTTTCTACATGCCAAACATTGCCAGGCTGCATTCTCTATATTTTCCATGTTTTCCACATATATAAATTGTGCCTTCAATTCATATGCAACAAATGGCTCTGCCAATGAAATGAATCATTGCTTTATCTGAGCTTGAATTTGCCTCAACTTTTATTAATGCACACATGCTATTCTCTATTATATAACTTGTATTACAGATGGTTGTTCACATATCTGTCTTCCCTACCAGACTGAGAGCAACTTGGGGATAGGAAACATATTATTCATTTTTGTAGCATCATAATGTCTATCACAGTGCTTTTCTCAAAGAAAACACAGAATAAATGTTTACTGAATTAGCAACTTCGATGAAGGAGAGAAAATAGTAAATGTTTCACTATGTTCAGATGATGTGTATAATATAGTGATATATATATTGCATATGTAAATATGTGTCTAGAAATGAACTTGACAAAACTTGGAAAATTTTCCAAGTAGTTTTTTGTTTATACTTTATTTGTATGTGAAATTGTTATTTTGGTTACCCTGAATGATACCAACCCATGCCTTGTGGATAGAAGTTAATTTAACCTTAGCTTCATACTATGGAATTTAAAGATATGTGAAATTTAGATCTACTTTATAATTTATAAATGGGGGGCAAAGATAATTTTCTTAAAGACAGAATCATATCTAAAAACTAATTTTTATCAATGATCCTAAGTATAAAAATAACAAATTTTTTCCTACATATTTAGACTGTCAATGATCTTCATCTTTGAAACAGATAACTTCGTCTCATATTGAAAACAAAACTGGGTTGAGAACTCACCAATAATGTGGATATAATGAGGAAAATACCACGAAGCTAAAGCAACACCCAAAATGTTGTTTTTATCAAAATGAGTAGATGTTCTTAAATTTTGTGCCAAAATAGTTTTCCTATTTTCTCAAAAAGAATTTAAGTGACATTTGCACTTAAGAGTTCATTAGGGATCAAAAAAGCAAAGAGCATTGTCAGGTTATATTCAAATCACCCAGCTCTATTTATGAAGACATTTAATTCATGACTTTTGTCAAATGGAAAACAAAATGGTCTAATCAAAAGAATGACATCAGCATATTTGATCCAATTTTGGGATTACCATTACTCACTCCCTAGAACTTAGACAGAGTTTGCTGTTTAGCAGGAATTACTGTATTATACTCATTTTACATATGAGAAATCCAAGAACCAAAAGGGTGTTTGCCAAAGATGGTGCAACTAATGAGTCAGGAATAAAAGCAAAAGAACCAGAATGCCTAACCCATTTCCCCATTACTCTAAATTGCACAATGTTATTAATATTAACCTATGGGGATGAAACCAAAAATATATTTTAAGACATATGAGAGAAGATATAAATATACACAGACCAAGTGAAAGCAATAGAAAATCTTTTGAAAAATATCAAAACAGCAGTAACCTGTCCTACTTCATCAAACACACAGACACCTGAACATTTTTACTTCCAGGCCAGTTAGACAGCCTGGCCCAAACTTGGCTTACTCCACTCACTTATCTTTTTATCATTTTCTTCTTATTCTTCCCTATCTTTGTTATTTTTATTGAATTGTAGATATAGACTAGTTTTCACGGTGGATATGGGGTCCTACACGTGTTCCCCAGGGTAGATATTGCAAGGTCCATTCTTTCCTAAGAGGAGGTCTTGAAGTGGTTCAGCCAGTTACCACCCTTGGGCAGTCTGTGCTTGAAACAGAGCCAGAAACTCACTGTGTTCCATGGCAGTGCCTCTGGGAATCAAAGATCTTCAGAGAGAGATTCTACTTTAATTCTGGTCATACCTTTCAAATATGATAGCTTATCTTTGTTTCTAATGAAATGTCACATACTATAATGTATGCTTTTTTAATCTTATTCTGTTTTCCCCAAAATTACCCATTAGACAAGGAGCAATTCTTAAATATTTCCTACATTCCTAACATAATGTATGTATACATATATAAAATAAAAAGAAAAATTATATATATGTGTGCTTGTGTGTGTGTGTGTATATATATATATATATATATATATATATATATATCCATATCTACAGTCATGCGTTGATTAACAATGGGGATACATTCTGAGAAATGCATTGTTAGGCGATTTCACCATTGTGCAAACACTATAGAGTGTACTAACACAAACTTAGATGGTATAGTCTACTACATAGCTGGGCTATATGGTACTAATCTTACAGGACCATCACCATACATGTGATCTGTCATTGACTGAAATGTCCTTATGCAATGCATAACTCTGTGTCTATATCTATCTATATCTATATCTATATGATTTGTTTACATATCTCTCCCAGAAGAATATAAGTATATAAATGAAGTGTTTGTGATTTGTGGCCATCCAGGTCGACTCAAGATGGCCCCCAATGATCCCCACCTTCCATATTCATACCCTTGTGAATGTTCTCCCTTTGAATATGGGCTGTCCTAAGAATTTGCTGCTACTCAATAGTATGTGACTTCCATGATTAGTCTACATAAGATTGTTATTTCTGTCTTGTTAGCTGATTCTTCCACTTGCTAGGTTTGATGAAGCCAGCTATCATAGTAGTGACACTCATGTGACAAGGATCTAAGGATGGCCTCCAGCCCACAGCCAGAAAGAACTGAGGTCCTCATTCAAAAGCCCTGAGGAATTGAATCTCACCAACAATCAGGTAAATGAACTTGGAAATGATCCTTCCTCAGTTGAGACTTCAGATGGGACTGCAGCCCTGTCTAATACATTGATTGCAGTCTTGTGAGAGATAGTGAGGCAGAAAACTGAGCTAAGCCATGCCCAGATTGTTGACCCACAGAAACTGTGAGATATTAAATGTGTATTGACTTATGTCTCTAAATTTGTGGTATTTGTTGCATAACAATAAATAACTATTACCGTGTTAAATAAATATTTGTTGAAGGAATAACTGATGCTTGAAGACCTTTATTTAAGTATCTTTGGAAAGAACACTTGATTTATATTCAGTTCACTTGGAGTTTCATCTTAGTCTAATTACATATTATTTATATGACCTGGCCAAATTGTTTTCTCTCCCTGGAGGGTAAGTTTCTTTATCTATTAAGGTAGCTAATTAACTGGGATGATCTCTAACATCCCTACTAGCTTTAAGATTTCATATATATGTGAATTTATTTTCATTCACATCTATCAAACAAAAGATAATCAAATAGAATAAAATAACATGTATTTCGTTACAAACTCCATCTTGAAACTAAATTCTTGCTACCTTCTAGGAAAGAAAGTCTCAATTTACAATTCATCTATCTTAGCTTTAATAAAATGATATTTAATTATATCACAGAAATATTTAGTAAAAAATATATCTGCCTCAAATATCTAATTGTGCAAACACATTAAATTTTGAAAATAGATTCCAATTTTTATCTAAATTATTAGTCCCTTCAAAATATTGGATTGAGATTTCTAAAATAACTGATCACATAAAATCTATATTTTAAAAATAAGGAGGAAATTTAAATTTAGGAGGTAAAACTGAACCATCAGTCAGAATCCATATTTTTCTAACATCAAACAATTGGTAGACAAATTTAGAATAGCAAAAGCTGGTTTATGCAACCTTCCAAAATATAAAATGTTATATTGATATTCTAATTGACTTTTGGGGGGTTACTATTAAGACACCGCTGGTCCTCAATGGCTTAAAATATCGATCAAGAGGTATTCATTACCCTTTCTTCTTGAAAAAGGAAATCCCGAATTTGAATCTTCTAAAATAAAACTCAAAGTATAATACTGGTAAGACGCTATAAACCATGTATGTTGTGTTAGTTTCTTATTGCTATAGTAACAAATTACCATAAACTTAGCTGCTTAAAACAACATCCATTTGTCTCCCGGTTTCCATGGTTCAAAATTCTTGGTACGAAGTAACTCAGCTAGGTTCTCTCTTTAAGGTCCACAAGGCTAGAATCTAGTTCTCACCAGGGCTGCATTTTGTTACTGGATGCTCTGGAGAAGAGATGGCTTCCACACTTATTCAACATGTTGGCAGAAATCATTTCCTTCTCATACTTTCCACAGGCCCCCCTCAATTTCAAGCCAGCAATGGGAGGCAAGTCATTCTCACACTTCAAATCTCTCTCTTCTGCCACATCTCTTTGCTTTTAAAGGCTCATGAGACTACATTGAGCCCACCTGGATAATCCAGGCTAATCTCCCTATTTTAGATCAAGCTTAACTACCTCTGCAAACTCCTTTTTGCCATGTAATGTAACATAGCCACAGGGATGGCACCAAAGGGTGAAAGACATGGGGGCCAAAATTCTGCCTATCACATGTGAGGAAGCTCTTCATTTTCCTCTCACATTTTGAGATGCTATATTATTTCAAATATTCAGGTTTATTATTCTTTTAGATAGCAATTTTTAAATGTAAGGCCAAATTAATTTTTATGTAAATGAATGCTTACAATCATCCAGTTATCTGGTACACAAAATGTAATCTTTTAAAGTAAAAAAAGTTTTATTATGGAAGTAATAAAGGGAAAAGTTACCTTTTGTCACTGTCTTTGTTTCTGGTTTTTCTTTTCTCTCTATTTTTTCCTTGTGAGTTGCTTAAACAGAAAATTTTATATTAGTACACACTTTTAACAGATTTCAAGACAAATATTTCTCTTTACTTCAGTTTTATAGTCACCAAAATCATGAACTATTTTGAAGAATGATGACATTAATGAGCCTAATTCAGGAATAAAGAGTTACCAGTGTAATAATATCTGTATGGAGCCCAATTTAAAAGACTTGGCATTAAGACTTAGAAAGCATTTTGAAAACTAGTCTCACCTTCCCTTTTAAAGTTATCATTTCAAGTAAATAAAGTTTTCAGGAAAGATAAACTAAGAGAGAGCAATTTTTTAAGAATTTGTTGAAAGATATATCATTTTTTATTTTTATTTTTTGTGTGTGAGGAAAATTAGCCCTGAGTTAGCCTCCGTTGCCAATCCTCCTCTTTTTCCTGAGGAAGATCGGCCCTGAGCTAACATCTGTGCCCATCTTTCTCTGCTTTATATGTGAGACGCTGCCACAGCATGACTTGGCAAGAGGTGTGCAGGTCAGCGCCCGGGATCCAAACCTGCAAACCCCGGGCCACTGAAGCAGAGTGCACGCACTTCACCATTATGCCACCAGGCCTGCCTCGAAAGATAGATCATTTTATCAGGAAGAAGCACTCTCTTTAGGATTAATAAAGAGAAATTTTCAAATCAGGACTAGAGGTTTGATAAAGCACAGTGTCTGTCCACAAGGACACAACTGAGTAGTAGGTGTCCCTGTAAGGGACAGTCTTACGTGTTGACAAAATGCTTACTTCTCTGGTCCCCGTGTACCAAATGCTCTCCACTCCAATGACATTTTGACATCTCAAAATTTTTCCAAATACTCCATAAGGGATAGCACCTTTGGTTGAGAACCATCAATAGAATACAAAGTAATCATAAAGATGACTGACTGAGTGCAGCTTCTTAATTGAACAGTATTCGACATGAAGCCTTAAAAATTATACCTTCTCACTGTTTATGTAATAAATTAACATGAATATATTTTATGAACTTTTATTTTATTCACATAGACTGGTAAAATCTTGTGTCTGTCAACAGTTTAGGTAAAGAAGTTCTGAGAAACACAATAGCACACATTAAACTGTGTGCTTTGGTAGTTTCCCAAATCACCATACATTTTTCAACATTTACATACTATTTATTGGAGAATAATAACGAGAGTTAAAGAAATTATAGAAAATTAAATGATAAAATAAGAGATTTAATTAAACAGCTGGAAACGGTTAAAGAAAGAGCCAAATTATTAATGTAAAAAATTGAAGCCCCGATTATTTCCATTATTTCCAGCTATATAACAAGAATAGTAATGTCCATCAGATTTACTTGTATTATAAAAGGAAAGAACGTACTCAAAATGTGTATTTAAAAAACTATTCTTTTAAAATACAGTCTATGAATAGTTTCTCCAGAATCTTGGAGAGATGATGTAAGCCTCATAGAAAACTTAAAGCATAATGTCCAGTTGAAGACCAAGTGACCCTGGCAGCTGCGGAGCCACCTAGAGAACAGACGCCTCCCCTCCAGGGTTTCAGCCTCCACCTCTCGCCTGCCCCACAGTCATCTGCGCTATCGTTTGGGGTTATGTGTAAAAGCCTGGGCAATGTTAGTTGAAGGAACACAACAGCAGGCTAAGCAGGTACACAGTTCACACAGGTCATGGGGCTGCAGTATAATAACTTATCTCATAAAAAAACAAACTCCTTTAATTTGTATATAGTAAATAAAAGGACACGTATGGGGCCAGCCCCATGCCTGAGTGGTGCAAGTTTGGCATGCTCTGCTTCAGTGGCCCAAGTTCACCGGGCCCGGATTCCAGGCGTGGATCTACTCCACGCACCAGCCATGCTGTGGAGGCATCCCACATACAAATAGAGGAGGATTGGCACAGACGTTAGCTCAGGGCAAATCTTCCTCCCCAAAAAATAATAATAAAAATAAATAAATAAAAGGACACTTACAATGCAGCATTTTGTCTCTGCTTTTCAATTTGGACAAATTTCCTGCTTCATATGTAATTTAAGGGAAACAAATTCTCAATTAATTTTTAACAAGAAATAGACACTGTGAAGGTTGAAAAAAAAAGAAATTTCAGATTATTTCATTTAGTCAGAGTACACAGAACCTGACGCTAATATTCTGCGTAACTCAATAGCAAATGGGAAATGGGCACCTGTTTCTAGAACAAAGAAAAGGGCTATATTGAAATTCATAGATATTATCGTTAAGTAAACATCAATAAAATAGCAACTATTTAATTTAAATTTTCAAGCGAGAATATGAAATAAAGAAGATTGAAGCATATTTCCGCTGATTTGATTGCTAAATATCGTAAAACATTCTAAGTGGAATGTTTCACAAAATAACATAATTCAGCAGTCTATGCATATTGTGGACACATAAATCAGCTGAAATCTAGCCCAAATATCCTAGTCATGAACAAGAGCAAAAAATTAAATTAAAATTTTGTTTCACATCATACATTAACATGGATTTTTGATGAATTAAAGTTAAATGTAAAATATGAAACTAATTTTAAAAGCTTGAGGAAAATATCAGTAGGTACTGAATTAATCTTTGGATGAAGACTCAAAAGCAGAAATACTAAAAGAAAATATCAACATATCTAGCCATATAAAAATGCAAGAATCTAAATACAACACACACACACACACACACTCACACACATGCATACACACATATATGCATTCACACATGTCCACTCACACAGACAGAAACCCTAACATTAACTACAAAACTAACTGAGAAAAAATACTTGAAAAAATGATAGACCACGGATGTATACACGAATGACATGCACACATATCATCAGGAGAAATGGACAATGAGTGTGAACAGCCACATAAAAAATGTACGTCACTAAAAATCATATTTAAATATTTCAGTCTATAAATAACAAGCAACTAAAGTATACAGTCGAAGAAAATATCTTTATTAAAATATTATGCAGCTTTTTAAAAAGAATAAAGGAAATATCTATTTACTGATATGGAAAGATCTCTATGATATATTGTTAAGTTATAAAAACCAGAATATAGAACATGCTAAATTTTGTGAAAAAAAGTAGGAAGAAACAATAAAATATATTATCTTATAATTGCATAATGAAGCTCTGAAAAGATGCACATAAAGCTCATAAAAGTAGTTTACTGTGTATGTGTGGGTAGGACGGAGTGAGAACTGGGAGGGTGGTAAGGCAGGAGGAAGCTTTTCACGATAGATCTTTAAGTATTGAACAATGAGACTGTATTGCCTATTCCAAATAAATAAATAAAGATGAAAAACAATATAAAATGCCCAGTCTAATAGGTAATCAAAGAATGCAAGTCAGAATAATGAGATATGCTTTCTTACCTATCAAATTGGCAAATATTCTCTGAAATAATATTATCATTACTGGCTAAGGCAGTCTCGAAACTGCCAAGAGAAAAACTGATGCATTTCTGGAAAGTAAATTAGTAACAGCGCTCAAGAGTCTACCTATTTTATTTCCTTCAACCCAGAAATTACTCTTTTCACATTCAATTCTAAGGAAATTATCATAATATAATTAAAAAACATAAATTCATGGTCATCTAAATCTGACGAAAAGAAAGAGAGCTCAAAGGGGCAGTGACCAATGTGTTAAAATCAAGAATAACTCCATACCTTTCTTTTCAGGTTTTTCTTTGTCTTTTACTTTTTCTTTTTCTCTGTGTGTAACTGGAAAGAAACAGACAATACTTTTCATTTAAATAAAAAGACAATAAATGATGAGATGATTGCATGGCAATTTTTGATGTCAAAAACTTACTTGCTCCTTTTGGAAATCTTTCTTTAACTGGCATGAGGTTTTACATAGAGGTTTAACCGTTAAAATGATTATAGATTTTTTAATTTCTATTTTTATTTCATATCTAAGCACAAACTCGTACCAAAACCAGGTTTGAGTGCAAAGATAACAATACCCCTCAGTTTTTCCAAATCTTTAACTTCAACTCAATGAATTGGAAAATTTTAAAAATTTATCAAGCCACATGCCAAAGGCACCCAGTTCAATACTGGAGGAACACCAAAAATATGAGGACAAAAGTACAGAGCGATAATCTTCTGAACCTGAAACAAAGAATAATCAACCTGAATAGTATGTGTTAATCTTCTACAGAAATATTCCACTTTAAAAGTTTTTTGAAAATATACTGGGATGAGACTAAGATGATACCAAATCCTTTAAAAGAAAACAAAATTTAATTTAATATGTGCTGTGATCCAATGAATTAACATAGTGGAGCTCAAAGTCTTAATCTTTCCCCACAATTTAGTCATAACTCTTAATAATGGCACCTAAAATTATTCAAGCTAGAAACATGGTACTCATCCAGGATTCGTCCTTTATATTCCACTTTTGTTCATTTGCAAAGCTCTTTCAATCCTACCTTTTCAGTATTCCTCTTACCCATCTTCTTTTATCCAATATTACATTCCCTAGCATTTATTTACAGAAAAATATAGAAAGAGCACCTGTCATGTGCTAAAGACTCTGTTTTGCAAGACAAACTCCATCCCTGTCATTGTGATGTCACCAAGCTAATGGATGATGGACGCTAAACAAATAATTAAAAAGATAGCTAATTGCAGTTAGTATAACTGGCAATGAAGAAAATATTGAGTGGCATGTCCATGCACAAAATGAGACCTAATCTAGTCTGTGCATTTGGGAAGCCCCCTTGGTGTGAAGGATGTGAAAGATGAGAAGAAATTAACCCAGTAAAGGAGTGGGAAGGAGAAAGGGGAAAGACCCCATTTCAAAAGTTGGAGTAGGATGTCCTTCTCAACTATAGTATTATTACACATATTATTACAATAACATCCTAACTAGTCTCTTGAACCATTAGATTTAGGTTTTTGCTCTCTCAGAGTAACCTCTCTAACATGAAAATCTGACTGTACTATTAATCTGTTACAAATAGTGTCTCCCTCATGGTATCTGTCACAGAGGTGCTCTATCAAACATCAAAATATTTTATTGCTCTCGTGATCTGATATTTGCTTATCAAGCCAAACTTATCATCAGGAATTTCACCTTGAACTTTCCATTCCAGTAATATCAAATGCTTGTGGCTTCACAAACACACTATGTGCCCTGTTAATGCCTTTGAATCTCTGTCTGCTTGTGCCTTCCTCCTAGAATTCCCACACCTACATTTATCTCTTTCAGGCACCCTTTCAATCCTGGCTCAAATGCCTGCTCCTCTGTAAAGTGTTCTGTTATCTCTATTTATTCTATATACCAACTGCACCACGTGCATAATTCTGTTTTAGCAATTAAATAATAATACTGCAATTGTTCGTATATTTGACTTCCCAGTAAGTGAAATCTCTTTAGGCACTATGCCATATTATTTTATTTTTGCATCCATGGCTCATCACTTGGTGTCTGTCACATAGTAGATTCTTAATAGATATTTTTGAATAAGCAAAATTCTAAATATTATAAGAAGAGCTATTTTCATCTTCTAGTGCAGTTCTATTTATTGATGATGTGGTATAGATATAATAGGCACTGTTTGCTTCCAATCATTTAAAAGTTTTACAATGTGCTAAAATTTCTTAAATAATTAAAACCCAGTGAGAAACAGAAGGAAAAAGAAGACGTAGAACACCTCGACATTATTTTTCCTTTCCACATTCGATGGTTCTTTTACATATTTCTGAGTTATTAAGTTCAAAATAAATATCTCACCAAATAAGGGAAGGACATCAGTATTCACACACGACCACAAATAGCTTATTTTGACTCCTTTGGATCACCATTAATTAAGCTAAAACCAAAAGAAAGTCTTGGCAAAAACAAAGCCTCTTTTAAAGTTTCTCTAGGGGAAACCAAGTTTGCACAAGATAAGCTGAGTTTTTGGAACCCTGATTGGCAAGAGCCCCAGGAGAACACCTAATCTGTGTCTCTGCCTCCCTGAAGGACCAGACCTCACCCACCTCGGACAGCTGGTTGTTCACTCCACTAAAGGATTTTCTGATTGACGTCTGCACGGGCATAAAGGGGAGAATTAATACGAAACCAAGGGAGCTGAATTCAGACTCAAATTAGCATATTAATGCCTTGTTCCTCTTACCCCGGGGGGAAATCTGGCTCCTCACAGTCTAAGTTTTGATTTACAGACGCAGTCCTGTATGCTGGAGTTTCATTACCCCCCTCAGAAATGGCACCATAATACTGCTTAGTGGAGCAGCTGGACCCATGTGCTCTGGGGAGCTGTTCAAAATGGCAGATAGCCACTAAAGCTTCTTGGATGGAAACTTCAAACTTTGGCAATGCTGAGCTCAAATACAAAGTTTTGAAATTTCTTTTATCAAAACAATGCAGCCATCAGTAACTGCCTTAATAATCACTCTAAAATAAAGATTGTGCTATAACAATTGCATTTGTTTATGCATCTCTTTGCATAAGCAAAGCATTAGAAACTGCAACCAAAAGTTTTCATATGGGAGAAGAAAAAAATAGCTTCCTTGTCACCAGCTCTCTTTGTCAAGTTACATCTTTGCTAGGACAGTTTTAGCTCAGGATAAAATAAGCTTGTTGCACCTGCTAGAGCTTAATTTGTTTGTCATCTTTATTTACAAGAAACAAAAGTCCCTTCAGTAGGGTGATAATTAAAAACAAATGGAATCCACCAGTTGGAATGGCCCTGATGTTTGGCATCTGAGTTGGCATGGCCCTGCTGTTCCTGCACTTGCCCAGACTCTGACCTTTCCCTGACCAGAACATTCAGCTCAACTCAAGTCTGAAGCGCTTCTCTCTGGCCCTCCCCATATGGTCCGTCTCCAGCACTCTGCAAGCTGTGCTCCCTGCTTTCACAGTGCTTGGCCCTGGCAACCCGCCAGGCAGGCTCTGTGTCCTTTTCTGAAGTGTATCAGAGCTCACAGTGCACCTGACCCTGTGGTTCCTATTGGGCAAAACCCTCACGAAGGACCAAGCCGTAGGCATTCATGGCCAGGTTGTCAGAGCTCTTTGCTGATCTCTCTGATCTTGGTTCAAAAATCAAAAGTTTTGGCGTCAAAATTTTTAAGGCACTGATGTGTATGGGCTACTATATTCTACAATTGATGGTTAGTAAATAAATTTAATTAACCAGAACTCTAGAACTCATACTTGACTTCAGAGCTACTGGACAGGACTGATCTGAGTGCCCAAACCGAAAGTAATCAGATAGATAAGCAAGTAACCATCATACCTTTGTGTTATAAAAGACTTCGGGGAGCGTGGTTAGCTCTAACAGATTTTGCACCTTTTTCTTTTAATTAATTTCTCTACTTTTCAGTTTTCTGGTGCTTTTGTTATGCGAGGTATAAGCATCGAGTGGTCTATAAATTTTAAGTAGGTCAACATTTCAAACAGCTTCATAAAATTCATATGCATCCATGTTTGAATTCAATTTTAACGAAAGAGCAAGATACACATTCGTTTCAACCCCTTTAAAACAATTCTGCTTTAGCCACCACTAAACAACAACGCCAGATGTATTCTTGGTAAGTATGTATGTCTCTATGTGTGCTTCATTTTTTTGTAAATAATTTGTAGAATTTCTATTCTGTGCTAAAAAAAGCAAAATGATCTACATGCTTTAAGACAATGATAAACTCAATAGAAAAGCGTTCTTGAGCAGAGAAACTTCTCAAAGATTGTATTACTCATTCTTCCTAAAAGAAGAATTTATCATTTTTAATTTAATATAAGCACACAATTTTAGACCTAGTAGGAACCTAAGAGGTCAATTGGCCTGAACGTCATTGTCTATGGATAGGAAAACACAGCCTCATAGAGTCTTTGGAGAAGTAGAATAAAAATAGAGTTATCAGATTGCTAAACTAGTACTCTTCCTCCAAAACTATACTGCCTTGCTCATCCCAGGTCCTGTGCAGACTGTAAACTTGTTCTTATGAGCCAAAGTGTGCTGATTAGATTCTCTAAGCAGGTTATCCTCAATTTATCCTCCATAATATACACATTTCTTTTTCGTAATAAAATTACCTTTATTTATGTATTGAAGTAAAGATTAGGCAAATTACCTAAAGTTACAAAGTTCATCGGAGACATATGCTTTAAATCGCAGAATAGGTTTTTTAATCCAAAAGTATTAGTTTTACCCTCAAATCTGATTTAATTGTATGGGTAATTTCCCCTTCACCTGGGGCTACTCAGCCACAGTCAGAACTGTGGTCACTTCCTCACAAGTGACAATCACTACGGAAGAGGTGATGTGTAGCTTTCTGTACAGCTTTCTGTTCTCATTTTCCAGGTTTATCTTTCACAGCTGCCAGAGAGCAAAAGAAAATATATTTTGTACTTTCAGTAGTCAATTAAGTCCAGCTGAGAGAAGGCAGAAGTAAAAGTTTGTACAAAATAGGCTGACTAAATTAATTTGTGGGCTTTGAGAGCCTTTTTATAAAGGGATCCAGGATATTTAGATCCATTTTAATGTTCTGTCCTCTTTGGCTTTTGAGCCTCATCTTCAGCAAATCCCTTGCCAGCCCACAACTCCAGTCCTATAATTGTTTCCCAGAAACAATCCTAAACCAGTCAATCAGGTTTATTGTTCTAAATTACCCTTCTTAAAATGTTCCTCTGCCTTTGTGCATGTGATATTGCTATGGGTTGAATTGTGTAAACTCAAAAAAGCATGTTGAAGTCCTAACCCTCAGTATCTCAA